CGGGTTTCGATACCCGTGGTGGGCAAAGCACAGATAGCCCTTGTGTAGCTTTGTGCATAATTAAAAACAAACAAACTAATGAATATTTGCTGTAAAATTATTATCAACGCTATAAGTGTGGCCACCAGTTTTGATTTCATTCCTTTAAGTCACATGATCAATCCTTTTTGTGACCGCACCTATTTTTAGCACTCAAGGTGTTTTTGATTACACAGCAAGCAAAAGCGGCACACAATGGTAGCCAACATTAGCTTTAGGATCGAAACCCTATTATTCGGAACCGACCTATACTTTACAAAACCCAACCAGATTCTTTAAAATATATGGTGGTAGCTTTCCTCTCTAAAACAGTATTAATAACATCCTTTATAGTAACGCCATGGAATCTAGATTAACAGTTTATTGTCATCACCTGCATGTACTCGGTACAGTCGTATCAAGCATCATTATTTACGCTAATTGCTTAAGCTAATATCACGTGACGCTAAACGCTCTTTAATTAGGCGAATTTCATTAAATCTAGCAAATTTGTGCATAAAAGTTGGCAACGAATAATGAATAATAATGGTCCACCTGTACGATTCTTTTGAAAACTGTAGCTAGAAACTGCTAATCTAGTTTACTTGACCTAACCTATACCTGTGTATCTGCACGTGCTTTCACCCTATAGTTTTGCTGCTCTAAATCAGCAGTCTTTAATCTGAATGGTAAAAAACTAAAATCGTCCTCTTTTACTCCTAAACGAAGCTACAGTATAAATGTTAGACCGATAGCTCACGTGACTTCTTTGTAGACGTTCGCAAATTTTTTCCTTAAATTTGAGCGGTTTTTGTTGAATAAGTTTGCACATGTGGCTTATATTTACACCAGATGAGACTCCTAATTGTAGGCTGAAAAGATCTAAGAGTGTACCAAATTAAAAAAAAAAATCCATAAAAGTTAAATATGTTTTTCTTTCAAATAAATTTTCGGTGCGAAGAAAAAAAGAGAAAGAAATTCAATCAAAACTGGAAATTTTATACCTCGGGTATTTCTTAATGGATTGTCTTTAAATTTGATATATGAGGTAAAGGTCCAATAGACCACATATTCATTGTAAATATATAATATTTTTTATTACCACAGTCCGTGTTACAGAAAGTGGAAAATCGCTTAACTATCACTCCCGTTAATAACATACAGTTTGTCCTGCAGGTTGTTTTGGCTGCACAACACACTACGGTGTGTCTTGATCGCACGATTGTTCTTAGGCCAACTATGGTGTTTATATTGAATGTTCAATATTCATGTTGATTTGTTAAAAAGGTTTATTTTCATTGTTTTTTTTTTGTTGTTGTTGATAACTTGGATGTTATAATAGCAAAATAGTTTAATTCAGAAGTTTTATGACATTAAGTTGTAGCCAAAAGCAAAATAAAATTTACCAGGTAGTGTTTTAGCTAAGCCTTAAATTACGCTTATGTATTAATCCTAATGCTTAAATTAGACTACAAATAGGCCTATTATTATTAACGTTATAGGGTCATTGTTTAAAAAGTTAAGTGTTGAATGAATGTTAATTACTAAATAAATGTAAGTTTGCTATTTTAACACATATATTACCAACAAGGGTTTAAAACAAAGAAAAATCAAAGTTTATTACTACCAAATATCTTTTTATCCTTTGTACAGTCGAAAGAGCTGAAAATTTGTGTCGGAATGTCCGCACTATGTTTTTACTTCCTGACCTAAAATACAACGCAAAAGCTAAAGAATGCTATTTAAGTCTCTTTCAGAGTCCAAAAGTACTTTTGTTCATGATAAAAATTTCATTTTTCTGCGTAGCTTTTACCAAAAATGTGGTGATTAAAGAATTACTTCGAGACTGATGAAATACGTGAAGAGTAGGTGCATTTTGAAAGTACAGACAAATTCGTTTTAGTTAAATTCTATAATTTTCGTTAATCTTTCAACAATGGTTTCCCGTCCTTTTTGACGGGTTTTTATACTAGTATATTATATAAATATATACATTACTGAGCAAAAGTGTTAAGACAAGAAAATATTTTGTCATTCCTTCCATTTTATGGGGCTAATTCTTCCATGCCATTCTAAAATGTAAATTTCAACACTATGGTAGTGCTTCACTAGGCCAGGGTGAGAATACTTATTATTCTTTAGAATTCACATATACTTGTACGAAGGGCATGTCATAAGGGTTCTGCTTCAATGAACATACTGATCAAATTTAGGGTCTGAAATAACTGTCATGGTACCCCGTGCAGTGTCTTAACTATATAGAAAGAAGCTAGCATATGGTACAGGTATATGCTAGAAGAAATCAATTTCATAGCACTCCACAAATAAACTTTGATAAAACAGTGTTTAACACTATTTATCGAGTTTTGTTGTCCTGTTACGGCCCAAAAAGCGTAGAGAATTGTCAGTAAAACAGAAAGTTTGCATAAAAGCCTTACGTGATGCTGGTTGGATTCTCTGACAAATTGCGCAGACTTGAAATGCTCCCCAAACACTGTCATGTACACCCTAGATCGTGAGACCGAGACAAGTAACTTTGAAAACAGGAAAAGAGGCAGAACACCTAAACTCAATGATACTGATATTAAGTATCTTCGCGTATGCAGCCTATGGGACAGAAGGAAGACTGCCACCGATTTCAAGCACGAGATAAACGGCCGTGTACCAAATGACAGAAAAGTGTCCAGATCTACAGTATCACGAAGACTTAACGAAAATGGAGTATTTGGTCGTGTAGCAGTTAAAAAACCTTTACTTCGATCTCCAAATATTGTCAAAAGACTGAAATTTGCTAAAAAGTACAAAAACTGGACTGTTGATGATTGGAAAAGGGCGTTATGGACGGATGAGTCCAAGTTTCAAATATTTGGTTCAAAGCGTAGGTTGTACATCCGGCGGAAGAAAGGTAAAAGATACTTACCTCAATGTATGAAGCATAGGGGAGACAGTGTGATGGCTTGGGAGTGTTTTTCTACCGAGGCGACTGGAGATATTTGCAAAATAGATGGAATAATGGACCAGCCCAAGTACCATTAGATACTGATCCATCATGGTATACCCAGGGGTTTGCGTATTATTTGTAAATGATTCTATTACCAAGAAGATAATGACCCAAAACACTCGTCCAACCTATGAAGAAATTACGTAGCTAAGAAAAAAGCTGCTGGAGTCATTCAAATGATGCAGTGTCCTCCACAATGCCCCGACCTCAATCCAATTGAGCAGACCTGGGATTTGATAGTTCAAAAACTTGACAAATCAACAGTTACTCCCAGAGAAACTTTATGGGAGTATAGAGACACTTGGAGTAAAATCCCAAAAGACACTTTGATTAAATATTTTGTAACAATGCTTGAAAGACTATCTGCAGTTATTAAATCAAAAGGGAGACACATAAAATATTAACTGATTGCTGAAACTCAAGCACTTCCACCGAGTTTCTGTTGCACTAAGTATGAAGATTAATAAAATTTTGACGTTTCATCTGTATTTACCTTTCACTGTTCTTTGAAAGTAGCCTGAAACCTAATTTTTGGACTTTGTCCTAACACTTTTGCACAGTACTGTATACACACTATGAAACTGTTTTATGACGCAACGCTACACAATGGGCTACCTTTGCTCAGTCCATAGCGAGGAATCGAACCTAGGATTCTATTGTTACAAGTTCATAAACTCATCGCTCACATATTGAAAGAACGTTACTTTTTACACAACCATTCTTTCTGTGAAGCATTAGAAATTAGATTGTTCTTAGAGTGTTTTTATTCACCTTGCGAAACAGAATTTTTCACAACTGTATAATTATATGGTTAATTTATGGCATAATTATGGGGATTGTGCATTTTTATAAACTTGGTTAGCTTTAAGGTTGGTTTATCTATTTTCAGAAAAAGCGCTTCTTGTAACACAGAATTATCCAAGAATAAAACTTAAAAATATATTTCGGCATCATACATTTTTCTACCTGTCTAAACATACATAAAATGAATTATGATAGCTTTTCTGTAAATATGTTTAAGTTTTCTAGATATATTCGATTTCACAAAAAACAAAAATTATAAAAAAGTTTTTACATATAATTTCTGCACACATAAACACAGACAAGTTGAACAGTGAAGTTAGATTATGCTATATTAAAAGTGAAGTAAACGTAAGTATAAAGTACATGTACTTTGCTTTATCAATAGTAATAACTGTTACATCTAGGTTCTGTACTAATATTCAGTTTGTAAGGCTTCCAGAAGTTTCTTGCAGAGCTACACATCTGTGTATAGCAGTATTTAACTTTGAACAGATAGGCTAAAGGGTAGGCAGCTAGTCAACAACACCCACCGCCAACTCCTATAGCTCACTCATGGTCTCAAACTCAGTGTGTTTGTGGAAGAAAAGGAACGTGAACCACGAACTCTTAGCTTAATTGATTTACAATCCACTGGGCCACGCCGTGCCCATTAGAAGGCTTAATAGTTTAAATAATTAATAATATCAAATAATATCAAAATGAGATTTAACTATATAAGAATTACATCAAAGCACGTGGTCACACTTACCAATCGATCGGTAGACTGAACAAAACAATATTGTCATGATGACAAACCACGTATTCCAATCGTGGTTTTCATTCACAGTTGATGCACCAAGGAAAAGAAAGATAATAGTTTCCGATGTATTAGCTAGCATCTTCATTGTGTACTTTAAGGTGATATGAGATTTGTACGATATGTTTTCTTCTACATAATTCTTCATGGTCATTCCACAAAACGTCAGCCTAAAAAGTAATTCAAAATATTAACGATATGCTATTGTACAAAATTTAAACAAGAGCAGAAAAAGCTCCAAATATTACTGTTTATACGAGGTAACGTAAGAAATGTAAAAGCTAAGGTATTATTATAATTTTACCACAGAGACCAAATATGTAAACTGTTTCACCAATTTAACGGACAATTTTTTTAAGGATATCACCCTACGTTTACTTTACATATAAATATACTTATTTATACATTCACACGCTTCAACTTGTTAAACATTACCACTTCCTAATTGTGATCTATGTAAGAAACTTGTTTTTGACAAAAATTGTTCGTTTCAGAGCAAAGCTACACCATGAGCTATATGCACTCCGTCCAATTGCACCTCTGATCTTAACTTTGCAAGTCCGTAAACTTATCCCTGACCTACCGGGAACTGATCAAAAGTTAATGGCAATTTAACCGAAAAAGTTTTCCTTAGAAACATTTCTCAATAGAAAGTAGTTATAAATAAGGACTTCAAGTTTGTTTTTTTTCCATATTGACTGCAACGTGTGTGTGTGTGTGTGTGTGTGTGTTTCTGAGGGGACAATCTTATTTATTGAAGTAATTCACTTTATTCACTACTACTATTAATTTAGAGCAACACAACTGACCAGTAAAGTTAAATATTTTAACAGAGTGACTTTAATATTCAGACTTTGACGCCTGTTCTAAAGTTTAACATTTTATAAAGTATGCACTTCCCGTCTCAAGAAGTTTGAAATGTATGTTCCCACTTGCACAAAGCAAGCAGAATATATAACCAGTTCACAAATACAAGGTGGCATTATCATCCAGGGCTCCCCCCCCCTTTTTTTTAATACTTACAATAATAATTTTTGTTTTCCGAAAAACTAAGAAATAGTCTTTTATACCTGAGCAATCTTAAATCATTTATCGTGCCAAGTGAATGTTATATGCAGGGGCGTATTGAGGTTAATTGGCGCTCTAGGTTTACAATTTCAGGTGCATCCCTTCTTTATCGAATGCTTCACCAGGAAGGAATATTAAAACTAAACAATTTGAGGGGTGCATTTTAGGGGAAAGTTTTTCAAAGATAAATTTATTTGAATTTTGTTGTTGCGCCCCTCAAATTGTTGCGCTCTAGGCCCAAGCGTTGTAAGGCTATTTGTTAATAAACCCCTGGTGATACGAATAAATTGGTGATAATAGATGATTCAAGTTATAACCGACCTGTGATTTTGATTGTTTTAGAAGGTTAAGTTGTCGAATTTGTTTTAACACAGTGGATCGTTTGAAAGTTAAAGACGAAAGAAAAAACTGGCAACAATTATTGTGATTAACACTAACCTTAGTATTTTGAAAAAATAAGCCTTTTATTTGTTAACTTGATTCGAAAATACTTGAAGGGTGCGATTTTTTCACGGATATCGGAGTTTTTTTTAACGGCTTTTGGGTTTTTCCATGTTCTGTGTAAATCCGAGAAGATCCGCAAGGCATTTGGTAGGGAATGTTACCTCAGTGTCAACGGAAATATCGCTTGCTCGGGGTTTTCAGCATATATTTGTTTTGTTTACACCTTTCGTGACGTTAGAAATGAGGTAGTTTCACTCACCCAGAGTGATAATAAACGTCAGTTATAAATATACATAGTGGGTGTAGTTTCTGGTCAAAGTAATATAACCGTGTATTACGAGTTTCAATGTTGTGTGGGATAAATAACTTGATAAAAATATTCGTATAGCTAATATTATAAATGTATGTTTCGTCATGCACAATTACTTATATTCAGTAACATTAAGTTCCATAAAACCTGCTATAAAGAGTACAGTCTTCTTTTCACATAGCAGAAATCATTATTATTATTATACTTAAATTGATAAAAAAAGAATCAACACGTGCGAAACGAAACATATCCCCCTCCCCCTCTAGCAATGATATGGTTGTCTTTACCAACCTCAATTTACATTTTTAGAGCTTGAGGTTAAAAGCCTGTCACATTCCCAATACACACATGCATAAACAATTTTAATCACACTGCCGAATCAACTGTGAGATGTATACTGTCTATACTAATCAGGTTAGCATAAATACTTGCTGTAATCTAAGTTATCTGAATACTTCGGTGTAAGAAGAATGAGCCTTATTAATATTAAACCGCAAGTTTCAATATTTGAAATGTTAATATTAAACTTGGCTGACTTTAACCGATGAGTATTGTTGTAACAGTTTCTATCGTTGGGTTGAATCTTTTTTTGATTACTTGGTAAAACTAAAGCGGCCCGGCATGGCCAGGTGGTTAGGGCGCTCGACTCGCAATCTGAGGGTCGCGGGTTCGAAACCCCGTCACACCAAAATATGCTCGCCCTTTCAGCCGTGGGGGCGTTATAATTCCACAATTAGTTGGCAGTGGGTGGTAATGACTAGCTGCCTTCCCTCTAGTCTTACACTGCTAAATTAGGGACGGCTAGCGCAGATAGCCCTCGTGTAGCTTTGTGCGTTATTCAAAAACAAACAAACAAAACTGAAACGGGTCCATTCTACTAAACGATAAGAAAGTGACTTATTTCTCTGACCATAACCCACGAGTTCAACAGGCTTTGTATGTTGATAAGCCTAACTCACAACTAAAACTAAACTCTCAATTACAGAATGTCTTAATTTCTACGAGAAAAATCAAAAACTAATAAAATACTCAGTACTCGATAGACTACGCGGTAATAGATTCACTAACTAATTAATTAAATTAATTAAAATCAGAAAACTTTGACATTGTGGAATTACAATCGGACTTTTCTCTATGTTAAAATACTTTTATTGTGAGCTTTAGGCCCTCTTACCAGAGCCTTCATCGGGCAAAATATATATATATTGACTTCCGGCGAGTACCGGCGAAACCTCACCTCCTGTTAAAAATGCTCTCTATTCAATTAATGTGCATCAGACTATCATTAGCATTTCATAAATTTCTGGTTTTACATCAATCACATGCAGCAATGTAACGATATAAATTATTTGTACAGCACTTAAAGTTTGTTTGTTTTCACTCATTTTATGTAGACAAATTACCGAAAGTTACGTTATGCAGGGTACACATCATTTAAATATTATTTGCTAAATTACATAATATTGAAACGTTAAAAATTATAATAACCATGTGATGTGTTCCCTAATTTAACTTGTACAATTTAACGATACTACTTAAAATTTATAGAATATGCATTTATCACCAATTTTAAAATAGTTCTGATTTACCGAGACTTATCCATTCATTTTTGTACTTTAATTTCAAGAAGCAAAAGCGCAGCTCCTCGGTGATATTGTTTTCATTCATCTCACATTATTTTCTAATTAGTTTAAAAATAAAGCATAACTTAAAGAGGTATAAAACGTAACACTTTTGCACGGACTCTTTAAATTCTTAGCAAACTTGTAAATGCAAATATTTAATAGAGTATCTTTATTGGAGTTTATAAAACAACATATCAGCTTGTTTATCAATCAATTACTGCATCATTAAAATTTATGAATAAACGCCCACTAATTTAGTGTAGAAACTAGGGATGCACGGGTACCCGGCCAGATATTCGGCTACCCGGCAATACTCAGCTCCGGCCGAGTGTCGAATGTAGGCATCTAAGCCCTAATCTTTGTGGTAACTAACGCGGTACTGAAAGATACGGTCATTAATTGGTTTAGTTAATAAAAAATAAAGTGTTCCGAGCGACAAAAACTAACCTCCCGCTGAAAGTCGGAGATGGGGATTCAGAGAACAATAAGGGTTAATAACAGGCATGGCTTCAGAAGTGGATTTCTGGGAAATGTGGGGGTTTGGGGAACAATAGGGGTTAGGGTTTGAGAAGCTGGGGCTAGGCATTGAAAGTTGAAAGTAAAACTTGAATGTTCTGTTGGTGATTATTCGGTTAAATGTAATAAACGTCAATTTTGTTTTTGTTTCTAATTTTTGTGTATGTTGTTGTTTCGGGGGGGGGAGCAAGGGAAGTCCCCGGTCCCGGCCGAAGCTTAGTGACCAGGTACCCGGACCCGGTACTCCGCCAAATTTTACTACCCGTACATCTCTAGTAGAAACTGTTAACAGGCTGGATCAACTTTATGTGGTAAAGAATTACAGAGCTTCACTTTCAAAATCAGAATTTATATTACTTGTATCTGTTGATAATGCATATTATATTATGTTAAAACTGAATTATCGTGCTGTCTCTTGATAAACAACAACTGATGCAGTGCGTTGTTGAGAAAGTCAAGTGCAGGGGAAAATTCGGTAGATGTAACAGATATTGAGAAGAAGCCATGTAATACTCATAATATAAAATGACTTTATACAGCAGCCTGCTTGAGCAGCAGCCAGCAGTGGCAGCACAACTTTTTTCTGTTACATGTGACGCTGCGATTAGTTTAATTACACTTTCAGACTGAGTGTAACATTTAAGCAATATTAGATCTTTGTTTTCACTTATTGGCTACACAACATGTACACAAGATTATTATTTCGTTTCTACTCAAATTAAACTGTACAAAAAATTGTTTCATTTGAAAAGCATATAAAAAAGAATCAAATAACAGCATAATTCTCTTTTCGTTATATTTAAACAAAAAGTTTCACAAGGGCCATTTCCGTTAGCATTCCCTAATTTTGGACTAGCGGGAATGCTGCTAGAGAACAGCACCCACAGCGAATGCTCGAGTTATTCTAGTTGAATAGTGGGATTTGGCCATCTCTCACTTATCCACGGCCCCGAAAACTGGAAAGTGTTTTTCAGCAACATGATTCACAGTTCGGCACGATAACCATTAGGGTACGATAGAACTTTGGTAAAATGAAACGAAAATAAAACATGTATACAAGTCCTATTTTTCTGATTAGAAGTGTCAAACTCATAACGACCCTTTAAAGTAAATTATAATTACCCAGAGTGAGACTTTTTACATACACATACCGAGTGTTCTCGAAGTTTTAAGTTAGGTAAATAAAAACAATGCATGTTCTTCGAGAAATGGTTTAAATAAATTCATTAAAAATACATAATACCAGTTCTTGTTACGTATATTATTAAATATCAAGATTGTGTTGACTACAGTTTAGATTTTATATATCGGCAACTTTTGTACTTACGCTACGATTCCAGACAAATGAAATAGTTCTGCGGTGAGGTACGAGAGATATCCCAGCACGAATACAAACAATGGCTCTATAATCAGCACGTGATGAGTGAATCTTGATAGAAAAGCCGCGAGAATACCCCATACAACACCAAGTAAAGCGCCTCCAAGCGAAGCAACAATGAATGATAGCACTCCAGCTAAATAGTCGATTGGCAAAATATTTTTTTGACCCATTTCCGTGTAACCTTCGAACATGTGATATAAAACCTGGAATAGTAAAAACGGAGTACTTCACTTATGAATATTACGCGCACACATACGTATAGGCTTATGCATAAATATACAATAAAAATTGGCATGGATTTTAAACAGTTTAAATGTATTGGACATATCTGTTAATATTTAGACAGGCAATATATAATATATACTTTTTAAATACAAAAGTTACATTGAATAATTTAACTATATACCCTTACTTGAATATATTTATAAATAATTTTTTTCGAGTACGTGTTTTTCGTATTACGCAATTGCGAGAAAAAGCATAATTATTTCTTCATTATAAAAAGTGGATTTACTCTTAATATTACAACCTTTACAATTTTTAGTGTACGTTTCGAGTTAACAGAACAAGATCACGTGCCGTCTTTGACGTCAGTGTGGCAAGTATTACCTTGACGAAAGGCAGGAAATCGATAGTCTCTAAAAAGGTTTTTCTTACACGTCAGGTACGCTCCGATATTGTTTTTGAACAATAACATTATTGTCATTTATTATTCCCGTGTCGTCGTACATGGCCAGTGGTATCTTAAAGTTTTACACGTTCAAGCGTTTCTATTAAGTTATTTAGTTAGCATACCTATAACAAAGTCGACGAGGTTCATTCTACGTACGAAAACAACACAGTCATAATCAATAAATGCAAGGTTTTTTCTTCGGTTCTAAATAATTTCAGTGTTCTGCTTTGTTTTGTTTTTTACAAACTTGATGTGCCTAGACGGCCTTTTCATTAGGAAAATGGCCAGCCATTTTTGAAATTTTTTCCATCGTACTACTGACAATGAACCAACCGCAAGAACAGAATTTTGCATGACAATGAATGACTGGTCAGCCTACCATATCAGTTTCATCTTACTGCTTGTAATGAACCATTCGCCTGGTAAACACCCATATTCTAAAATTTGTTGAACAGGTTATGAAGATACGTAACACTATTTTAACTCGCAAAGTTTCTCCCTAGGTTCACCGCAACACAAATATTCAAATGACAGTAACTTACGGGTAAATATCAAATTCAATGTTAGAAAGTTTTTTTTCTTTCTTAATGCATATTTTAGTGTAAGCTATTTGTGAATTATATTTCTCGACAGACCCATACAACTGTTTATACAGATCTGCCGAAAACTATAGCAAGTTATCCGAATGTGCACGATGTCGGTCTAATGGAGAAGGAATGTCAGCTACGTCAGCATTGTATGGTAAAATGAGTAGTTGATGATTCTGACATCAAATATATGATACTGTGTTGAATGGCACTTTGTAAAAGGTCGTGGCATGCGTACTCTTACCCTCACCTGTGTGAATAGGGTTATAAGTGTTTTTAAGCTTTGCAAAACAGATAGTACAGATCTATTGTTGCGATATTAATAGATTCTTCTACGGTAAGATGCGAATCAGTTATATATATATATATCAAAGATTTTTATAGTGTTTGGAAAAAAATAAGGTCCTCCACAAATTGCTAATGTATTAGAAATGCATCTGTATCTGTTTCTTTAAATCAAACATGCCAGTTCCGAGCGCAGTACTGCAATAACAAAGACTTTTATGCTCGATGTTTGTCAAACCTTGAGCTGAAAAAGACACGTGAAAGTGTCGAAACTTGTATCTATCTATCTATATATATTTAGTGTTCCGTTATTGTGGATTTAAGCTTATAAATTACACAGTATTGTGTATTTATCTATTCTTAACCAATATGTTTTTAAAAGTTACTACCGTTGTGAAACAACAATATCGAAACACCTGTTAACTTTTATAGTTGAAAAGCATTTCTCATGTGGCTTAATTTCTCATTTTTTGAAAGGGAAGAAAATGACAAGTTTTAAATTCACATCAATGGAGTGCCTAAAATCCTAACTAAAATATAAAAGAAATCTCTGATTGACAAGTTTTAATCCTAAAGACTAATCTAACTAAAATATTTATAAATCTCAATGCTTATAAAGACATACTTGAGCAAATAGTAATTTTGTCTATTTTCTCACTGTCTATTTATAACTATTTAATTGACCAAGCTTGAAACTGTAATTATTAGATGAAGTAAATCATGTAGCCTGTGAGGTTACCTTTTTCGAAATGTTTCACGTAACGTACCAAAAAAAAAACTTACCACTGTGACAGCATCGTTCAGTAAAGACTCCCCAAACACCAAGATATACAATACTTCGTTCACATGGATCTCTTCAAAAACAGCCAGCACTGCTACGGGATCAACAGCAGATACTATAGAACTAAATAATAGTGTGTCAAGAAGGGGCATGTCTACTCCATAAAGTCCAGTTAGTCCGACACCCCATAAAGAGAATCCAATGGTTAAGGCATTCCAAACAGTGCCAACTACAGCATACAACAAGATTGATGTCATGTTATCGAAGAAGAGACGATTGGGCATGAAGTAGCCAGCGTCCAGGATAATTGGTGGTAACATGTACAGGAAAAAGACATTGGGGGTCAGAGGTCCGACCCGCTCCAATCCGGTGTAGAAAAGTAGTAGACCAATGATCGCTCCAACCACGATAAGTATACAGCTTTCTGGACAGATGAGTCCGATCTTTGGGGTGACATGAAACCCTAAAATTGAAAATAATAGTAATAATGAAAATTTTTCTGGGTATTTATCTATTACCAGATGCTACAGTGAATAGTAAACATGCGACTGTTTCCATAATTATATGTCTTAATGTTGTAAATTCAATAATGACTTAAATCGTTTTTACTTTTAAAGGTCTCAACGTAACATGTGAATATACCTATTTTCCTAAACTGTACTGTAATATCATGGATATGTGATAATCGTATATTACGCCGTGTATAAGTTGTTTGCATATATATATCAGTTTCAATAAATACGCAAGTTTTAGCACAGAGTACTATTATTTGCATTTAATGGATCGAATTTCACCATCAACTCAGACAACTGCTCAACCATGTATAGGTATCTATTAAAATTACAATTCATTTTTATTAAGACAGAGTACGACACATATTTCAAACTCGATCTACTTTTGTTCCAGCATTTTATAAGCCTCATCACAAGCAAGATGTTCATTAATAAAACGGAAACAAAAGAGATCATAACCAGAGTTTTTCGAGAAAGGTTGTTTTATTGCCGTTTTTGCAACAGACATTTTACTGATCAAAGAATGCATTATTACCCTAAAATAACAAAATAATGAGTGTAGTAAAATTATATACATATCTATTCTTCATCATCCCTAAGATTGGTATTCCCTAGCGGTTAGGTGCTCGACTCACAATTGATACCCTCCACCGAATACGTTCGCTCTTTGAGCTTGGGGGCGATATCATTTACGGTTAATCAACTGTATGATTACCATAACTTGAAGAAAAGCTTTTATATGCGGAAACATCTGTTAGTTGAGTTCTTGCACAGATCTTAACATATACCGTTGATAAACAGAAACATCGGCACATGTAGATATGTAGATCTTGAAAGTCGAGTTGTTCAAAACTTGAAAATAGCGTTGATAACTGGACCAATTGTTGGTTGAGATGTTGGAGAGGAAATATCTGCTGAAGTTTTTTGCCAGACACTAATCATAGCAGAACCGTCTGGAAAATGATCTATAGGAAATAGTACAGCTTATAAAATGAGTCGGATAAACGTAGGCCGGTAAGGCAATCACTGATTGGCACAGCCTTAAGCCAATCAGGAAATGTCACAAACCTACCGAAGGACATGTAGATTGTATAGGAATTCTTTTTGGTGGTAAAGGACAGGTTTATGTGTTTTAATAAAGGTGGCTTCCAAAATATAGAGATGAAAGGTTGACAGACCATTTGCAATTTCCAGCGCTATTTCCTGGGATAACCCTTGATACAAAATTAAACTTCATCAAACACGTTAACATCGCGGTAACTGGAGCTACCAGAGGAATTAATGCAATGAAAGACTGTAAAATTAAATAGAGAGGAACAGTATCACCTACTTATGTTCTACCATCCTTGATTATACACTACTGATTATCTGTACGAGTGCTATACAACTGGATAAGATTGACGGAGGTGGCTGAGTACATCCTATGACTAGTCTTAAATAGGTGATTTGTATTTCTTCAGTCTTCTTACACCTTACAACCTTCAGCAGTATCATAGAACACCAATAGCACTTACAAGCAAAATCATTTACTAAGGTCTTGAAGTGTAAAGATTATGCTTTCAATCATTGAGCCATTGCCCTTTCCAATCGAGACATTATAGCTCTACAATGATCCACAGACACTAACCCAGTAGAGAAATGGCTAAAAGTTGCCCCCAGAGCCAGTAATAGGTGTACAAGTACCAAACAGCTACCACTGAGATAATTTGACGCCACTAGATCTCAGACTTCCTGATGCAAAATAACGTTTGGCACCACTGTGATCTGTAGGAATAAGCCTGTACAGGAAATGTAGAGATTGAGCAGAGATAAATAATAAAAAAACATGTCATCACCTATTTAAGGGCCAGGGTGGACCAGTTACCATTATAGCCACAGATGGTTCCTACACGAAAGATAGCAAGAGAGCTAGTTAGGCATTCATAATCTTGTGGAGCAAAAATATTCTTCACAAGGCTAATTGAACTTTTGAGCTTTCCACAAACAAGAAGGATGGAGCTGGAAACCATAAAACAATCTCTCTACTGGAGTGCTGAAAGCAATACAACATATAGTGTCACTAACATAATATATGCGACTGACTCACAGTAGTATTATATGAAATTTGGAGTAGTTGCTTCCCAGATATAAAGTAAAGCAAATGCATGGTAAAACAATCATCTGATGTACATGTTAGACCATGCAGGGATAAAGCTAAAAAATCGAGATTTAAAGCTTTAATAACCTGGTTACAATGTTTCTCTGTTCAACAACTGCTTTAACACATAAAGTGCTAAACCTGTTGTCAGGTTAAGTGATATTTCTTTAAAATTATGCGTACTCATGTTTATATTGCCTGTATATAATATATTCCTTGCACCTGTGGATTTCTCTCTTCCCCAGGCCTCATTAGGTCCCATGCTTGACCAGTTGGGCTGACTACTGTCCTCAGTTCCATGACAACACCCAACACAGCTATCTTATAATCCATCAGTACTGTCCAGTTGTTAGACTGATAAAGCCTGGGTCTAGTAAGAAAGAAATGGCATGTTTCTGTAACAGGAATTGTTGCTCACATTACTTACTTCATCTGTCCTATATGACAATAATTGTCCAAATCTGGATAGAAGCATGAAATTTGGTACATTTGTAGTTTTTCCATATGGACATTCATATAAAAGCAAGGCCCATTTTAGGTCTTGCCCATAAAAGCCCTTATTCTCGTGTTTTCTGTTGAGTTCTTGGGCTGGATGAATTTGCCTACAATGTCTCCATAGTATCTTCAAGATACCTGGTTAAATAAAATGTAATGTTTAGTTCTTGGGTTAAAATATTTAAGAAAGTGTATTTTAGGGATCTGGTATCTGTTGTATCCGTGGTCATGTATAAATACATCAAAACGTCGCTAATCTGCACCTCATTTATCTGCATCCCAGTTTCCTGGAGAAACGTTCCATGACAAACGTGTTACAACATAACTTTTCTTGTCATACAATATCACAAATTCATATCATAAATGGAGAAGCTTTGTGACTGTGGGTGACAAAAGTTACAGGTGTCTAGTATTCATTGTGTTGTGTGTTTTTACAGAAACAAAGGTGAAGCTATGAAGTTTGCTTGTGTTGGTGGTGTAGATATACTGTAGAAGCCTGTAGACAATTAAAATGTCCTTACATAGCAACAATGAAAACCTACAACTGGACATCAGCCAGGAAAGACCTTGACAGGTTACAAATTGGACTCTTCTGTGCTATCTTCCAGAAACAGGGCGATGAAAATCTTGTATGTCCAACAAATAGTAGAATACAAAGTTATGGTTCTGAGTACGAGAATATAGCCAGAAATTTCATGACACTGGGTGTGTATCAATGCAAGGTGATATAACTGCACTCAAGGAGGGACAAGATATACAAGATACACCAAAGGCCCGAAAAGCTTTTTGGCATAAGTCATATTATAATAAATTTGGTAACCTGAAATTTGAAAGTGCACAGAAAAGGAAGTATCATAATACCTTAAATACAAGTCCTGTGAAGACACGTACCAGTGTAGGATCAAGAGCAACAGTGGAAGAAGTGCCTTTTCTGTGACAAGACTGATGGAAAATTGCACACAACATCAACCTTGAAGCTGGATAAAAATGTTAGATGGTGTGTAACACAACTTTATGACACCAAACTAATGGCAAAACTAGTTCCAGGTGACATGTATTGACTAGATGTATTCTCCCACAACAAATATTTGGTAGCCCTGTACAACAGATCAAGAGGGCAAAAGTGGAAAGACTTTAAAGAGGACAGTGGTCAGGAGTGGGCAGAAGGTATTGCTCTGGCTGAATTAGCATCTTATATTGAAGAGAAAAAAAAGATGGGATAACACCTTCTGTAAAACTGTCAGATTTAATTAAACGTATGCTTACTGTCTGCATCAGTTACAAGCTTGTGTTCCAGACAGGATAAACTCGACAAGGCTTAAATAACGTCTCCTTTTTCATGTACCTGGGCTGATGGCATATAATGATAGAATATAAGTACTCTTGGCTTTTGATGAGGACATTGGCACTGCTTTGTGATTTGTCCAGGAAAACAGCTACGACTCTGAGAACATGGTTCTAGCAAAAGCTGCAAAAATCACCCAAAGAGAAATTTTGAAGAAGGCAGAGGAATTTCATGGCTCATTTGGGCCTGATTGTCATCAAAAAGCTGTGCCTGATTCCTTGAATTCAATTATATAAAGATGATACTGGAAGGGCTGAGTTTAATACAGACTGATCAACAAAACACTGGACCAAGTGCAGCACTTGTGCCTGCTGAACTCATCATTTTTGATGTCATAAAACATAAGAGATCAGCATTTACATCTACAGTGTGACATAGTACTGATAGAGAAACATCTCTAGCTATCTTCATAGCACTTGTTATACATGTAGAAACTCGTAAAAAGGACCTTGTTGACAAATGTCATCAACTGTGACTACCTCATATGATAGGGTCATGCACCTATCTGCTGATCTGAAAAATAGTGTGTGCCCAATATGAAAGAGAAGAGGTTGTGTGTCTCCATCAAAACTAAGAGAAAGATTGTTCATGATGGAAAATGTTGATAACATTGACCACAGTCTCAGTTCAATAACTGCAAAGGATTCGTTCCATGGAACAGCAATTTCACTTGCTCTGTGTCCCAGTGGGGTTGATCGTGAAGTGGTTTTCATTATCCATGCTATCCCAAGAAAGAAAGGCCTGTCTAAACTACTAAAGTTATACACAGAGATCAGATCAGCTGAGACTATCACAAAAGATCAGTTTGTACCCACTGTACAAGGCCCAGTGAATCCAACATCACAACCAATTAAATCTTAAAAAAAAAAAAAAAATCCGAACAAAAATGGCTTGTGAGGATGCATGAACTTAGAAAAGTTAGCTAAGATCTGCTCTATAGAGGTTAGGAACTCCAATACTATTTCAAGTCTCCT